TACCTCCTGACCCTCGTTTGTTAGTTCCCAATATATCGTCAACGACGGTTCTGTTCGTATCACCTAAACAAAACTGAACAATCACAATTAGTCGTTATCGCGATAAACTTACGTCCCCTAGAGCCTCCAAGCTTTTCACGGCTCCAACAGTCTGCTGATGTTCGAGCCCGAGTTCGTTGGCAAGACGGGTAGTGCTGATCGGAGACTTGTGCGACAAAATGGACAGCACTCTTTCAGGAACGTCAGCGGCGGCGGATGCGGACGCATTCTCATCCAAGAGATTATGTGTGTCGGCTTCTAACTTCATGCCTATGGCCGTACCTCCTGACCACCTGAACGAAGGGAATGAGCAATCACTCTTAAACCTGTTATTATGACCATCTTCATCCGGCATGACAAAACGCTATTTGAGTAATACAACTATGGGAATTAGTGACGTCTCATCAGGTGAACTGATATCTCAGCTCTAATGCCTTGATACGGTTGAACTGTAACGATTGCTACGCCTTCCTTCTTTTGTTATTTGCTGTATTTCTGATTTTGTTCCTTTCTATGTATCCACAAAAATAAAACCCGATCTTATGGGTTTACTAGCATACTGCTAGTTTTCTATTTATCATTTATCTATTTTGCTTCTGCTCTATGGCTGTCTCTTTTAACTCTAATTAATAGGTACCACGAAGTTGTGATAACACGTATCAAATGGCAACATATTATGAATGAGCTTAGCTAACTATGATAATTATCGCACCATGCTATGCTTATACATTTATTTTTGTTTGGTCATATATATTTTTATATATTAGTTATGCATCTGTTGCAAATGAATTTCTTTGACGATTCTATTTAGAGTAAAAGCTTCAAGCTTCCAGTTAAACATGACGTTGCGGCAATATTTCTTGCAACGTTCGAATTAAATGCTGTTGCACTAACAGCTTCTATGATTTGTGCTACTCTTCTATGAGTCTATGAAAAGAAAACTGAGGTGACATTGTGCACCTGATCATTCGATAATTCCAGCGAAAGTCGACTGAAAAAGCAGCATGATGGTGAAAAAATGATATTTTAAATCATCGTATTCCTTTTAAAGAACGTTTGTCATCGAGTCTGAACAACGGAATCCAATGTAAACAACGCACCTGCACTGTTCCTCTGCACTGAACGAGTTTATATGTCTGTACCAGCGCCGCACGTTGACGTAACAAGGAGGAATATCGTGTAATTGGTGATGCACTTGTACGTCGGTGAATGAAGGAGCAAAACTGCAAATAAGTCACATAACTCACGTATTTATATATGAGGTATTAAAAGGACTTAACGAGAAACCTCTCCACAATCATTTATCCAAACAATAGCGTTACATTCAAACACATTTGTAATCAGCCTTTACGTTGTTCGTTCAGTCCCATTATACCAATAGTAGGTCAGGGAGGACTGGCTGCCATGATTAGCATTAATTCTCAAATCCCCACATCATCCCTGTACATTCTGAATAGATACCAACGACTCACGCACAACAAGATTCAAAATCACAAACAATGCTGATGGATGACACTAAGAAATGAATAGAACACGTCTGCATGTCCCTCGATGGTTAATATTGTAAAATTTACTATTAAATAAAACATTCATGACTGACGTCATCAGCTTGTGAAAGGATGATAAGGTTTGTAAGCTATGCTTGCAAAATGATGACAGAGGGAAACTGACGAGAAACGAGAAAGGAAAAACGAAAGATTGTTACTGTTGCAATATCTGTCTTCCTTCACATTTATTTTTGGGCCATACTGGTGTTGTTCTTTAATGAATTTGTTCGCGCGGTGCTGATCTTAGTTTCTATGCCATAAGCCAAGAGTGCTTTATTTTAATAGCAAAGTCTGCCGCCACGTGGCAAGGGTAACGTGTAGTCTCCAGTTTCCTCTTCACAGAGTGGTGCTCATTTATCAGGA